TCCAGAATTGCTACTGCTTGTTCACTTGAACTCCTAGATCTCAATCTTTCTTTGCCAATGTCTTGTCTGTGAGTAATTACTGTGAATAAAGAGTGGCTAACAGTAAGCTTGTGTCGGCATGACTCACCGGACAGAGGGGGGGGTCAGAACACCCCACTAACCTGCTTTCTAGCTCCATTCTGTGCAGGGCAACAAATGAAGACCCAGCCGATCAGCTGGGATGCCCATAAGCTGGGACTCAGGAGGCAGTGAATAGATGGCAGCAGGGCCAGTCAGAGATGATATTTGCCGTTCTCCGAACTACTCAAAAGTTCTGCTACCGGTTCACCAGAATCAGAACTGGCTGAATACCACCTCTGCATACATCCTTTTTTTTCTACCAACACATGGGCAGTGATCAAATCTTCCTACTGCATTGAAAGCTGCACATCAAGTGTTGCGCTATCCAAAACAGGAAACAAGCAAAAAATGTAGTCCAGTAAAGAAAGATCAATGAGCAAGAAACTCTCAAAACAAAGGGAAGGCAACAAGGTTAGGTAAAATCTCGTAGAGTGTTCAAAATAGCAGAGGAAGAACCATAAACCTAGAAGAGCAGGTACAGAGCATAGTCAAAGAAAGATTGAGATCTAGGAGTTCAAGTGAACAAGCAGTAGCAATTCTGGATGCACAAGTGACAGGAAAGGCTATCATCAACATTACTAAGAAGTTGAGTCTCTTCTGCTCCAGATCTTTAGGCTGAACCCAGCTAGAACTTCTTAAGAGACCATGGCCTCAAGGAACTCAGCCTTGAAGCCTGGACCATTCTATTTGTTGCTCTAGACTCAGCAACAACCCTGTTATCATTAGCTTGAGGGCTATCAGATATCTCCTAAATTGCAGATCTAAAAGAGTTGGAAAGAGCTCCTTTGGAGACACAAGTCCCTGCTCAAATCTCCCTTGGTTCTTTCTCCAAAGTTTCTATCCCTTCCATCTTTCATAGGAAAGATTCATCCAAACAGGCTATGACACACACTATGCATGGCAACACTTTTCACTCCCAGGAGCTGCCTGAGAACATGGGATAACTGTAAGCAGATGTGATAGCCAACGTCCAGGTTAATAAGGATTCACTTTAAGTTTTATAGTCAGCCCTGTTAAGAATGAAGAGGGCTGCCAGGTTATCAAAACCTATTTATTTGGTAGAATTCTTGTAACCCACATATTCTTTCTTGTGGGTAGATCTATTGAAAGAATCTCCGTACTTCAAGTTCCTGATGTTCATTTTTGTCAGAATCTACAGACGTTTCCATTATGGATTTGATGTAACCTGCATTGCAGAAAACCAATAGAATCACACTATAATCCCAAACTCAGATTAGGAACACAAGAGGTTGAAGGAGAAAACACAACTTGCTGGTTTCTTCCTCCAAACCTCCAACTCTTTGTCCTCATAGCCCAGGACAACAAGAGCAAAGTCAATATGAAGCGATGCCAAAGCCAAGTAAATGAGCTTTGAATTGCTATTTTCACACCCCATGCTAACCATGTTATACAAATAATCCATATTCTGAGTTGGCACAATACACTGAACCATAAATTAACCCAACCCATAAATTAACTCAATTTCACAGCCCCCTAAGCAACAACAACAAACATATCAGGTTTAATGTGTACCAATACATCAACGCTTGGATTTGTTAAGTGTGTTTTGCAAACAGAGCTAAAAAGTAGCAATTATGGGGAAATGCTTTCTTGATATATTTATATTCCAAGAACATCAAGTACTTATTATAACATACAAGTCTTTATTGTAGTGCGCCAGTTGTTGGAGCTTAAGAGAGAACTGCAAATATGTGGCCTCAACATCCTGCTTAGTGGAGCAGAATGGTTCTGCCATCTTGAACGCCAGAATCCAAGGAGTGACAAATAGTGGATGTCAGCCTCTGTTTTGCTGCTTGCTTTTTGGCTGCCATTGAAANGGGAGGGAGAGAGAGGTTGTTCTAGGTAGGTTGGATAGGTGCCACCTTTGAAAAGGTCCTGTCCCAGGACTCATGCTGAGACCCCTTTTGATCAATTGGTGAGTCAGAAAACTACATAATCAAAAAATTCCCTAATCTCATGATCATGTATGGACTGATAAGTAAATACAAAGCCATGGTGATTTACATTTTATTTAAAGTTTTTTTCAATAAATATAAGAGCAGATTTTCGAATATGTTTTTATTTGAAAAAATATTTTAATTATTTTATTATAAAGCTACTATTAATATCCAAATAAACATATAACATTATTTTAGAATAAGTTGGGTGTAATTTGACAGATTTTCCAAGTGGAATTTGAAAGTGTTATCCTGGGAATATATTATTTGTGTGGATAAATACCCTTCGGTGGGAAACTGCTCTGGGCATATATATTTGGGAGATTTGTTTTCCTCCAAAGGCAGGCTTTATTTACCATACTCTATGCAAATATTGATGGTGCTTATGGAATTTATCCAAGATTGGGCTGTCTGTCATGAATATAATAACAGTATGAATATGTTCATTCTTTGAGGCTGTTATTTAAAAACTGTTTAAGGCACATATGTCAGTAAACATGCAGAAATTCATATTATTTGACACAACACTTCTTTAGCACTCGGCAGGCTGCCTCTTGAGACCACTTGATTTAGAAATGGCATTGACTTGTATAGCCAAAGTATTAACAGACACTCAGCTGCTTTCTTTCTTTCACAGGACATATTTCTAACTGCCAGCCTAATGCATTATAGAAAAATGTGTTTTCTGTGCAGTGAATGGCTACAATCATGAATAACTCAAAAAAGGATTAAGTAGTTTGTTTTACTTTATATTATGAATACACTTCAGAATACAATGTGAAACTACTAGGAAAGCAGAATCCTTTCTAGCTATTAAAATCCCAATTAAGTAGCTATTAAAATTCCAATTAAATCCAAATCTGAAATGATATTACCCTGGTTCAGGGGAAACATCAGAAGAATATCAAACAAATTTCATTTCAAGGAATGGTGCTTCTTTTAAACACATGCAGCATTTCTGGGATAAAAGGAGAGTGTCTTATGTAAATCAATAATTGGTTAAAGAAAATAAAACGATAGGAGGTAAATATAGCTTGTGTTTTCAACAAAGAATTGTACACAATTAAGCTTCCAGAGACCTTCTCTGTATCCTAGAGCTGGATCTCAATTTAGGGCTAAACACATGCAGAAACAGTTATTAATAAGTCTAAATTCAACCCTAAATTAATTAAAAACAAACAGATCCCTCAAATTTGGAAAACAAATTTAGATGGCAGGTACAATTAATGCTTGGAAATAGAAAACAATTGTATGGCCATAACACCAAAGTGCACAGAAGAAGCAGATTGCATAGTGAGATTAGTAATAATAACAACTCTATATAAAAAAATAGAATAAATTTAAATAGAACAAAAATAGAGAAAGAGAGAGAGGAAGGAGGGAGAGAGATTGGTAAAGAAGCCCTGTGTCAATAGCTAGCATGAGACTCAAACAAAAATGCTTCTGATAGGAATTGCAATAATTTCAAACTACCCAAATAAAATCATCAGAATTTTATTGTGGGTTTCTCACTTCACTCCAAATATGCTTCTTTGGTCAAAACATAGATGATACGACTCAAATCTAACAGGAGCTGGAATCAGAAGAACATATTTGCCATTGGTTTATATATTTGCAATTGAAAGAAAGATTTAAATTAGATTAAAAACCTATATATTTGGTTTTGTGAAAATTGCAAGGCTGCTATGGGTTCGTCCTGGTTCAAAAGAACCCATAGCTAATGTTATGGCCAGTTCAGAGAACCTCCAAATCCAACCCCTGACTGTCCCCGCACACCATGTCCTTACTCCCAGGACTCTCCATGTGGCCCATTTTGGATACGACATGTCCAGGGCCTGTGCAGAGGCTCGGGGAGGGGAAAAATGGGCCTTCTGGAAGGCCTCCAGAGCCTGGATGAGGCCCTGCCAGAGGTTCAAGAAAAGCCTCCGGAGCCTGGGGAAGGTGAAAACAGCCCCCCTGCCATAGTGCAGGAGGCTGACTAGGCCATGCCCACCATGACCACACCCACCCAGCAATCGAGCAGAGAATCCATTGCTGAAATTATTGAAGCCACCCCTGGAAAAATGAATTAAAATTCCTATTGTGTGGTAGTGATCAATAGATTATTGCTAATGTTTATAAATTGTTATTGAAATTGAACTTGAAGAATGTGTATGTAAAGCATTGTATGATTCAGTGGCCAAAGAACTTTGTATATAATATAGTGCTAGAACAATGGGAAAACACATGAATGAATGGTCTAAAATTCACAATAAATTAAAATTTAAAAGAAAAAATAATAATATAATGTATGATTGATATCTAACACTGGATAAATCAAGAATGTATGAACATACCTCAAATGGATGTTTCAAATGTAAATATATAGTGTTTGTGTGACAAAGCAAAGAAGTATTAGATACACTAGGTATAAGGTTTAATATACTAGGTATATTAGGTATAAGATTCACATCTTAAGACCATGATGGCGAACCTATGGCCCTGTCAGCTCCAGCACGCATATGTGCACTGACCACCTGATTTCGGCCTTCATTTTCGGCTGTTTCTCGCCCTCTGGAGGCTTCCTTGAAGTCTCCGGAGGGTGAAAAACAACCCAACGTGCAAACTGGAAGTTTGGACTTCCAGTTTGCATGTTGGGCCATTTTTCTCCCTCCGAAGGCTTCAGAAAAGCCTCCCGAAGCCTCTGGAAGGTGAAAAACTGGCCAACACGCAAACTGGAAGTTTGGGAAAGGACTTCCGGTTTGTGTGTTGGGCCTTTTTTTGCCCTCCGGAGCAAACCGAGAGTCAGAAAATGGGCTGTTTCCAGCCTCCAGAGGACCTCTGGGGGGAAGGGAGGCCGTTTTTGCCCTTCCCAGGCTCCTAGAAAGGTGTGCGGACATGCATGGGGACAGTGGGGGGAAGGGTTTCACACATGCATGCGCAGGGGGAGCAGTGCAGAGGGCATTAAGTTATGGGGTGGGCATGCGATAGTACTCACGCTCGTGCTTTTGGCACCCAAGGCAAAAAAGATTTGCCATCACTGTCTTAAGAAGTTTCTCAAAGTGAATATAACGATAAAAACAGAGACGTATCTCTTAGGCTTAATGAACAAAGAACTTGAGGGGAAAATGGCAGCAAGAATATTTCATGGAGAAAAATGGAAGGATACTTTGATTCCCATAATGGATGAATGGCTGCAAAAGTTGATGGAGTTAGCAGAGATGGCAAATTGACTGCTTTGATTAAAGAAGAGAACACAGTTAATTCTGGACTTTGTGCTTAAGCTGGGGAAAAATGAAATGAAACTTTGACTTTGGATTTTACTTATTAGGTAAGCAAAAAGTTGTTACAGAGAAGACTAGTATATATTATTATGTAAAAGTAAAATGTTGAGGTTTTATATTGCTACCTCATTCTACTGCATCAAAAAGAGTTGCAACTCAATGGTTTTCATTTTCTTTTCCTCCTTATCCTGCAACTTTCCCCTTATTTTCATATTTCTTTGGATATCTGTTTTTATGTTTTGATAAATATTTAATAAAATATTTGAATCTGAGAATATGGACCACACATTATAGCAGCCAGAATGAGGTCATGTCAGATCAAATATTGGCTATTAACAAAGATAACCCCAAAATGTGGTTAAAAAATTCATGATGGCAGTTGTGACAGTGCATTTAAAAATCTGCCTGATTTTCACTGCCTTTGGCAGTGGTGGGTTTCAAAATTTTCTGTAGGTGTGGCCTGCTTTGTGGGAGTGGCTTGGCAGTCATATGATTGGGTGGCCTTGGTCAACTTTTAAAATGTGGTGAAACTCACTTAACAATGCTCTTGCTTAGCAACCAAAATGTTGGCTCAGAAACTCTGGCATTTGAAACACGCAAGTCTTAAAGCTGTCAAGTTACAAGACCCTTGCGTAACCTAACCCTTTAGAACCCCGCCCCCCAGGGGTGTTCAAACTTGACAACTTTAAGGTTTAGATAAGACTCTTATAGGCGGGTGGGGCAATTGGTGAGCCAGCCAATCAGTGAGCGGTGCACGGGGGGGAGGGAACTGGAACCGGTTCTAAACGGCACGGTAGATTTGTGGAACCTCTTCTATAGAAGAGGTT